GTGTGTCCACGCTTATTACTCATTCTGTTGAGGTACTCAACTGAGAAGGGTTTTTCACACTATTCATGATTTGATTTTATAAGTTGTTTAAATATTTAGCTACTTTTGTATATCAAAAGGTTCTTTATATCATTTCTTGTATGTGTCAGTAGCTTGCTCAAAATTTAAAATCATGGTAAATCATTTTATAAAATTATATCTGTGTAATGTATTATATTATCATTTTGTTATCTTAATTTTATGGATGGGATGTTTTTAGCAGAAGAACCATTTTTGGCCTCCGTTGACCCCGCATCTCCATTGAATGATGAGGGGCTTCATTGCTAATCAAGCGTGGAAATCTATTTCCCTCCTAACAGTTTGGAATGCCAAGCAGCTTGGAGTTCTTTTCCGCTAGGCATTTGGCAACTTGAATGATTCCCGTGATGGTGGCGTATTGCCAAAATCATCAATAGTTTCTAGGAATTGTAGATTCTCTAACCCTATGTTTGATATGAGAGAATTGGAGGGAAGGAAAGGGGAGGAAAAATTTTGGCAAGCATGATTTAAAAAATTGGAGAAGTGGGGTTTTAAAATTTTGATAAAAAGAAGATGTAGGATAAAAGAGTAAGAAAATCTAATTAAAAACTTTCGACCCCACTTTTTCAATTCTTTAAATCAAGCTCATTTAAAAAAAAAAAATTTCTCTCCATTTCCCTCCTAACAGTTTCAGCAACTCCTCCATTATGTTGGCATGCCCAAACAAGGCAGCCACATGAAATGGTGTTTTGCCTGAAGCAGTAATCTTTGAGGTTAAGGCATTTGGCTCTTTCTCTAACAATGCTTTTGCACTTTCCCATTTGTTATCACGTATAGCTTTATACAGTGTACCTTCCTCTACAATCTCCCCCTAAGTGGGTGTCCTTCTTCCTCGGCTCTAACCGCCACTGCCCCCATTACTTCCTGTTCTAATAACTCCTCATCCCTAGTCTCTCTTTTTATCTCTTCCTTTATCTCTTCCAAATCCTCCCGGCCTCTTAATATTTCCCTTATTATTTGCATTTCCAAAGCTTCTCTCTCTTCCTTTGTCGTTGCAAGTGACCTCGCCATCTTCCTTGCTTATTTAAAAATTTGATCATCTGCAATATTTGTGGAGGGTCTAATGATATTAAAACAGGGGGAGAAAAACATAATGAGGGAAGGTCCTCATGTGCTCATGGCAATGGGGAAATGTAAATAATCCAAAATTTGATTTAGAGATGGCCTAGATTTAAAACTTTTAGCTTACGATTTTTTTAAAGATGATCTTTTAAAAGAAGCATTAGCTACAAAATTATCTTTATTTTAAATTTTATATTTATTAAAATAAGAAGTTATTTAAAGCATAAGTAAAACTTGAATTGAATCTTGACCATTCAAAATTAATCTAAATGGTTTAGATTAGATGAGCATTCATGGAATGCGCTCCTGGAAAGAAATAGTGGTGAAGCCTCTTGTTAGATTCATCCTAAAAATATAATAAGATCATAATTATTTATTATCCTATTTCACCATTTTATTACATACAGAGATTATAGTGACCTCACCTGACCACTTTGTCTTCATCGGCATCTTAACAGGAGCGAATAATAAAGTCATTTTGGCTGTTGGCTGTGATCTGCCCAATCCCTATATTAGCCAAAAAGGCCGAGAAAGGCAAACAAACATCACTACATACCCACCAAAAAATGCTACTACATATATATTGCATTAATTAAAATATAAATAAGAATCAAATGCACTTACCAACCTTTGGTCTGCTTCAGTGATCAGTCTTCAAAAAACCTATACATACACACCACCAACACACACACACACACACACACACACACACACACACACACACACACACACACACAGAGCTTGATTTAGTTTCCATGGAATCATCCCAAGCCCCTTTTTCTTTTAGAACAACTTATACGTTGTGCTTGCGTCTGCTTTCTTTTGTTTGCTCCAGTGGTTTCCCTAGTATGCATTTTAAAAACAAAAATAATTTTTTTTAATATTAACACGTTGAATGAGATGTACACTGACATGCGAAAAAGTCTGTGTCACCTATAAAATTCGGGAAACGTTATCCTTTCCTCCATCCATAAGCAACCGCTTTAGTGATGCAAATTTTTTAAGGGTCTTCGGAATCTTTGTCCACCATCATATGCTGTCCTCCAAACGCAAGTTGAAATGATCGTATTCCTTTCCATTTTCAATTTTTCATATAATTTAAATATAGCGTGACATTCCATTGCCTCCTGATGCATGCAGCCCGCGAAATGGAGTCTTAGACGTATTTCTTACCATATTAATCGTACATTGATCTTGTATGAATTGTGCAATTCAAATAATAATGTCTAATTTGCCAAATCCTTAAGGATGTGGAGATTTGGTTGAATAACAAAGCTCAGATGCATCTCAATTATGTCCAACGAGAACAATGGTTCAAATGATAAATTAATTAATCTTGGGTAAAAGTGGATCCAACACCTTGATTTTATTTCCAAAATGCATCCTGATCTTATTTATAATGCATTCAACACCATTATTTTATTTTATTTTGTGGCACATCTAACATTCTAATCTTATTTACAGTGCATCACGCACCCAAAAAATTAGAATGCTTGATGTAAATAAAACAAATAACATTAGGATGATGGATATACCATAAATAAAATCAGGGTGTTGGATACATCTGAGAAATAAGATTAGAATGTTGGATGCATGAATGTCTACCCTTAATTCTTTTGTCTTTGCCAATCTTTAATTTTTTTTCCCTCTTGCATCTGTCTTTAATATGTCTTTCTTTCTCAGCAATAAACAATTATTCAATGAATATTCTTGCTTAGCTTTTCTTTCTGGCGTCATGCCCACGAACAAACAACAACAACAAAAATTAATGAAAAATCCGCAAATCATAATCATTCAAATAACACAAGACTTGGGAAATCATCAATTACAACTGCTATTCATGGCCACGGCTTAACTTTCCTGTCGAAGATACTCCCATATGTCGCAAAAACAGAATGAAGAAGAAGAGGGAATTGTGAGAGCACGAAGAGGCATATGGGAACACTTGCAAGCATAATAACAGGGAGGAGACCCCACGAGTAGTTTGTATGCTTTAGTATGAGACGAATTGTGGAAAGAAAGGCTACTATCATGCCTACAATGGATATGAAAAGTGAGGAAAGACCCAAACTCAACTTTGTTGGTAAGGATTTAAGGAACTTTTGTTCAGAATAGTGAGAAGTAAGTATTGCTAGAAACATTAGAACCGAAGTTGAAGAAAAGAGGAGGGATAATATAGTTGAGAATATAAAAACCTTGAAAAATGACTGTTTGATGAGTAATGGGAACCCAAAAGTTTGATCATTTCCTCCCGGCACTGTAAAAGCTGCAGTAAACATAATAGTCACAATTAAGGCTCCAACAACAGAACAAGAAGATGCAGTGGCCTTTATCCAATTTTCTCCTGAATCATTAACCCTTCATGTTTTTGTTTGAATAATTCTTCCGCCGTCATGCCATCACTGTTTCGTGCTTTCCTAATAGTAGTAGGTATTAGTTTCTCCACTTCCTGCATCCGTTCCAATAAACAATTAATTTCATTTGATTTTCTGCAAATCTAGATGCAAATGGACAGCAACTAGTTCAAAATATGATTGAAGTTCATCAAATGTCAATAACTTCTTTAATTAAATTAATAAAATCTAAGAGCAAAAGGACTCAGTCCAACTCTTACTTGTTTATATGATTATTGTAAAAGATAAAAACAGTTTCTTTTTTGCCCTAACCTTAAACCACTGCAGTTCTCTTTGCATCTGCAATGTTGGCCCGCGGATGCGGTCAAGAAGGGAAGCAGGAGCTTGGGTAGCTGCAGCATGTAGCAAGCTATTTCCATTTCTATCTCTGCTTGAAGCAAAAACGTCCTTGAAACGAAGCCCATGGATGAGGCTGAAAAACCTAGCTTGTCGATGCTCAATGGCATGGTAGAAAATGTTTCGATATGAGTTATCTCCAATGAGCAAAATTTCAGGATTTGCTTTTGATATCTGAACCACGAACTCAACATTCCCTTCTTTCGCTGCACGAAATAACGCATCTGCAACAGTGATCACTTCATCTCTTTTGCTTGCATTCTTACAAACTAGCCGAACAATTTCATTTGCTTGTGCATGCAGTAACTTGAGCTCTTTTAATTTCTTGATTCCTAGAATGATACGCAACACGACTTTTTTGTTAGCTGAGTTGATGAGAATCAATATCAGTATATATAAAATAATATACTCCCTCTTCTTTTCCTTTTTATAAACATCTGATAATAACTTCACAAAAATTAATGTAGTTCAAATTAGTTATCTCTCGTAAAATATCAATATTATCCTCAATAAAAATCATTAGTAGGAGGAGTTTGGTTTATTAATTAGGAAGTTTTATAACTATTTAGGCATAGTAGGGGGAAATTTAAAACTTTTTAAACAACACATACGTTTATGTTATACATGAAGTATGCTAGAGGTGCTTGTAACAAAAGGACCGGAGGGAGTATTGGTTAGAAGAGATATGCCTACCTACAAAATTATAGGCGGAGAAGATGAGCCGTCGAAGCAAACGAGGTCCTGCTGCAACTTAGAAAAAGGGAAGAAGGAAGAAACAAAAACTCAGCTTATAGAAAGGAAAAGGATAAAACAATGTTTTGTTTCGTGTCTTTTTCTAAAAGAATATTTAATTAGAGATGAAGAAACCTTGAATTAAAAAAACAGACACATTATACTGTTCTACCTGCTGGCCCTATAAGCTTTCCTTGTGCCTTTTCCCTTGTGTCTTTATGATGGACAGGTAAAGAAGCACTTTGGAAACTTGGAGTTGAATTCGCATCTATATCTAGCACATCAGCAAACAAATAGAGAAAAGACTAAATGTCATTAAATATATATATATATGGAATCAAACAAGAAAACAAAAATTGTATAGTTTATGAATCCTTTTGCCAATATTATTTTAAGTAAATTTATTAATTAGTCTATTGTTTAGTGGCAAAATTTTATCTTTTATTAGATTTTCATGGTATTCCCAGCAATTCTGTGGATATATATTTAGAATAATTGCGCCATATAATGCTGCTCCCTCGAATTGAAACAAAGGCAAAAATGTAAATCTAATAGTATAAGAAGAAACAAAGAAGATATTAATTAGAAAATATTTAAGTAGTGATGATACTGACAGTCATAGATCCATCGTTTCCAAAAGACAAGTTCGCTTGGGCTAGGCATTGTAGAATTCATAGTTGCGATTCCAAAAATTGGCTTCCAATCCTCGTTGTCCGACGCAAAAAGCAAATCTTGGCATTTACTAAGCAAGTGATGAGCAATATCTGTGTTTTCACACAATATAATGAATATTTGTCCATTACATTAAGATAATACTCTATGCGACTGAATAACTGAACAAAAAGTAAAAACAAAAACAAAATATAAACTTGACAGTGTACATAATTAAAAAGAGTATTCTACGAAAACAAACACATATTTATGACAAATAATTATTTTAACTAATTTTTTTAATATATGAAAATTAATTGTATAGCTCTTGTATTAAGAATTAGAGGGAGTATCATAAGACCATTTCATTGGTATAATATCATTTTAGTTTGATATTTCCTAATTAATTAAACAAGCTCCTTTGATTAATAAAATTTATTCAGTTTGTCTAAAAATTTTAAAAGTATTAACTAATTTGATGATTTGAGTATTAAGATCTCAGTTCAGTTTTTCTCCCAAATTTATAATTTTTTTTCCAAAAATATCAATATCATTTGCACATATTAATTAATAAATAAATTCCAATGTCAATGATTAAAGATGGTATTTTTAATAAATCAACACATATTTTTTTACAAATAATCAACTTAACTAATTGTCTTAATCCCTATAAATTCATGTTTTAACTTGTATATTAAGCAACGGGGGAATAGTACGTACCAAAACATTGTGTTTCCAAACAACAACGAAGAAGAGTAGGACCAAGAGGGCGATCGTCGTTAGGTTGGAGGTATTCCAATGGAGTTTGAGAATAAAGATAATTTCCCATTTCACGATGACCAATGAGAAGAGCAAGTGTAGCAGGAAGTTCATTGGTTGAGTTTGGAATGCCAAGCAGCTTGGGATTCTTGTCCACTAGGTATTTGGCAACTTCAATGCTTCCAGTGACGGTGGCAATTAAAAGTGGAGTATTGCCAACATCATCAACAGTTTCTAGGGATTCTGGGTTGTCTAACAATTCCAGCAATTCCTCCAATATTTTGACATGCCCGAACAAAGCAGCCACATGAAATGGTGTTTTGCCAGAAGCAGTAATTTTCGAGGTTAAGGCACTTGGCTTATTCTCTAACAATGCTTTTGCTCTTTCCCATCTGTTTTTACATATAGCTTTATACAATCTGTTTTCCTCTGCATTCTCCACCTCAACTGTGATTCCTTCTTCTTCCTCGGCCCCATCCGCCGCCTCTGCCGCCCGTCTTTTTTCTTTCTCCTCAAACTCCCTCTTTGCCCTAATCTGTCTTTTTAACTCTCTTCTGATCACGTCCAAATTCTCCACTCCTCTTAATATCATCCTTGTTATTTGCTGTTCCAAATCTTCTCTTTCTTCCTTTGTTGTAGCGAGCGACCGTGCCATCTTCCTTGCTTTTCTTAAAATTTGATCGGCTGCAATATTTTTATGGAGGGTCTAGTGGGGTGGATAAACAGAAAGAGACAATGGATTGTTTAAGCTTAAAAATTAAGCGGTTTTTATAGAAAGCGATATACCATATAAAAATCTTATAGAAGACGCGTAAAATACTATATGAAGATTTTGTAAAAAGCAGACATAATTTTGCATTGGATTACTATCATAACAAGTTATTATTATTTAGTCATTTTAGATTTTAAAATATCTTTAGCCATAAAAAATAATACATTATTTAATTATTTTTAAATTTAATGATATCCCCTGGAAGCTGCTGGTTTTTTTAATATTTAAATATTTTTAAAAGTTTAGGGTCTGTTTGTTCAAGTTTAGAAAAATACTTATGAGATGAGCAGCCATCACTCCATTACATAATTTGAAAATAATACCTTCTTTTAAAAAGAACATACATAAACAAAATCTTGAAAGTATTTTTAAAAAGAAATTACATTTTTTCTTGAAAAATGCTTTAAACAAACAAGATCAACACAGATAATTATGTTAAATTATTTTGATAAAAGAACCAGTACGGATAAAAACAATATACGCGCATTCGTGCAGTCCCTCCATGAAAAACAAAACAAATGAATAAAAATAAAAGAAGAAGATCGTTTCTCTATGGTCAGTTGATGATTATTTACATACACTGGCTATTCACAGCTGAAAAATAAAAGGCTCAATGACATGAAGATTGAGTTTTGTACGGCAAAAAAGTTTTTGCATAGTGACCTGACCTGGCACCCGAGACCGAGCTAGAGGCATGGGCATGTGTACAGGCATTTTGGCTAGTGACTATATATGGTGAGCTTAATCCCTGCATTATTATTTTGTACCCATCAAACCAAAATTGGAACAATTTAAATGAGTCGCACAAATATCACTATATACACACCAAAACATATATGACTCCTATATATATATATAGGAATCAGATGCACTTACCAACTCGACCTTTGGTCTATTTCAGTGATTAGTCTTCACAAAAACTAAGCATACATTTGAGTTCATCACACCACCAACATATATATGCAAAAAACTCAGTGTTAACTGTAAAATTCTTCAAACTTTATCCTTTTCGTCCATCTATAATCAATCGCTTTACTAATGCCAATTTGAGGGGAAAAAAAATACTCAAATTATATATCCTTCTTGTTTGCTAATTACTCAGACCTCCCCTCTAATTTGTGTGTGTGTGTATATATATATATAGAGAGAGAGAGACCTTTTGGATCTCGAAAGAGGCCATTCCTTACCTAAGAGTTACTATTCACCTTAATAGCTGCTTCTTTCCACTAAGTTGAGAGTTGGATAATGTATATGACATATGAACTGCGGAATAAATAGAATGAATACATAGTGGTATATAGTGAGAGGGTGAGGTATAGCCAAATTTTAGGGAGATTGTAAAGTTGAATATTTAGTTTGTATTCATCCTTACATATATTTTAATTATTTTATAACAAGAAACCATATATACCTGATTGCATTAAAAAAAAAAAGAAAAAATAACAAGAATGAAATGCATTTACCACTTGTTCTTTGATTAGGCCTCCACAGAAGCTATATATTTGCGTGTACAATTGAGTCCATCCCACCAGCAATTTATATTGCATAAATGGAACAAATGTTTGCTTGCGTTAGTTTCCAATGAATCATCAATCACTTCTTTTTTTTTAAAAAAAAAAGCTCTTAAGTAATTTAAAAATATTATTAGCACAGAGATATAAAGTAAGATTCCAACATTTACAATACTATATTTTAAAACATCCCAGCTTTCTTCACCCAAAAAAAAAAAAAAAAACATCCCAGGTTCACGATATACCATGAACAATATATATTAGCTGCATTACCATAACACCCACAAACAGCATGTCTCGACTCAAACTCTACAATACACACACCATATAATATTAAACTGACACACGACACATGGCAGTACAGAGCTTTTTTTCTTCTTTTTTTTTTTTGGCGTTTCATAAGTGATTAGTTTATTTCATCTGAGGGGGGAAAAACTCATTTTGCACCATGTTTCTTATTCCATTCAGCTTGACTATTTCAAATATTTAATCGTTCAAGAACACACAAACATATACAATATTTCTCCTCCTATCAATTATTATTATCGTTGTTGTTGTGTTGATAATAAACCATAATTAATACAAATTCAATCAATGGGGGTTAGGTCTAATGAAGAGTTAGTCAGTGCTTCAAACAGGCCTCCAATAAGAGGATATATACCTTTGCTTAATTAAAAAAAAAAGAATTAATACAAATTCAAGCAAGATCGAGCCCTAGTTGGGAGAAAGCTAATACTAACTATATACACATCGATCATCTTTATCTATGACTCATGAGGTGTTATTTAATGGGTGTTAAAGTCCCATACTATTCAACTTAACCGTCGTTTGTGATAAAATTACATTATTATCTGAACCAAAACTGTAACTGTTATATACATATATGCATACGCGCGCGCGTGCGCACACATATATATATAAACACACACACACACACAAACGAGATGCACTTACCATTCCTTTCTTCGACCTCCACAAAAAGCCCATCTCACCAGCAATGTAATATTGCAGTGACGGAACATGTGTGTGTGTGTAGTAAGCTTGCTTGCGTTTGTTTCCAAGGAATCATCTATCACTTTATTTTTTCCTCCGAATCGCGTGAGAGGTAAGAGGAACTAAAAAGTATCTAACAATTAGAACTTAAAGTAAAATAAGAGAAAGTAGCAGAAAATGTCACACAAAATTAATCTGCCAATGCGAGAGACAAAAAACTTACAGGAAACAGGCAGAAAATGTCACTATGAGAAATCGAGTTTACAAGATCAAATTTCTTAAAAAAGGAAAAGGAAAGAAGAAAAGAAAAAAGAAAAATACCGGTTGGGGGGGGGGGAGAGGAAAAAGTTCTAAATATATATTCCTCCTGAAGTTGTTATAGCTTTCACTTTAGATTTTGTTATTGTCTTTGGAGCAAGCTGTCTCATTTTGTAATGAGGAAATATGAACCCGTTAGGCATATAAATTGAAATTAATTATCTGGTACAATATCAATCATTATTTGAATAGTCAGTAAATATATTTGATAACTGTAATACACAAAAGTAAAATAATTTCATTACTGCTTAATTATTATTTATCATAATATTTTTCGAATGTAAAGGGCTGATTTTTTTATTATTAAAACATTATTTAAAAATTGGAATATACTTTATAACGTTAAAATATTTTCAAATTCGAATAAAAGGCATCTTATTCGACTTTTCTCCTATGGCCAAAAAAAAAAAAAACTTCGCTATCTCCGGCTATGTGGCCTCGGTTTTCATCTCAGAGTTACACTGAGAAGATTCAGTAGTCGATACTTTCTGGATAAATTCGTTGGAGTATTTGGGTGTCCAGGCGTGTTGTGAGCTCTGAGACGCAACTTTGAACCAGGATTATCATGATGCTCATGATAGGTTTTCTGGGGCTTGTTTGGACGAGGACCTAATCGAGAGTTGTGCCTTCTACTCCAGCAACTGATTTCGACCATTTCAAAACTCGAAGTGGATAGTTCGGTCCTTAATTAATACTCCATCCTTCTTTTATTATAAGTTTCCAATAACCAATTCATACATAACGAATAATTAGTTAAAAATAGTTAAAAATAATAAATTGGTTAAAAATATACTTTTATTTCTAAATATACTCTTATAATAAATAAGAAAAAAGATGAAAGAGAATGTGTAGAAAAATGTGATAAGAAAAATTATAAAAAAAACAATTAAGGACAAAATTGAAAAAAAATACATTAAATGTTAAAACAATTACCAAGTTGAAACTTATAAAATGAAGCACACTACTTTTTAAATTTGAAAATTATAAATAAGTTTACGGGACTAACAGGCATGGTGGTCGCGAGTGTGTCATTTGGAACAGAGGGAATATGAATTTGTGCTACAGTTGCAAACTTAAAATAGTCCTTCCAGCTGTTGCTGGGATGATAGGAATTATGCATACATGTACTCAACCTGTGCTGGTCTGGTGTAGAAATATAAACCCCTCTTTTTTTTTAAAAAAAAAAAAAATCGTATAGAAGCCATTGATTTGATAACTAGAGGGTGTGATAGTAGTTAATCAGCCTTTCAATTCAGCCCCCGCACAAAAGAAAATAATCAGCCTTTCATAGATGTTATTGATAATAGTAGTCTGCTTGTTTGTAACATCCTACTCTATACATCCAGATGAAAGCAAATTTAATAATTATGTTTTAGAGTTGCACTAAAAAAGTGGTATTTTTAAAACTTTTTATCTACTTTGATTCTAAATTTATAACTTTACATTCCTGAGAGCATTAGGCTATGAAATGAGAGCCAAATTCAATCTTTAAATACCTGCAAGTAATTTCTATTTATCAAAGCTGTATAGATCTTACCTTTGAAAACTCTGCTTTTTTGTTCCAATTATAATCAATCATGTCTTATAAGCACTAATTCACTCATATCACAAATATATTATTAATATATACAAATATATATTGAACCCCAGCCATATTAAAACTACCCCCAAGTACTCCTCCTTATGTATGTACATACAAATATAATAGTATAATTTACATGATTCATAAATAGGAAGAAAATACAAACACATAAAATATCACGAAAGGGAATATAAACACATAATGTATTAATTTTTCATGTTGATTAACTAAATAGCTAAATTCTTCTCTTCTACCTTAGCCGTGCTCTCACCAGCTTCTCTTTCCCTTTGGATCAATTTGGGCCCTATGGTCACATAGAAGATAAGGGTGAGATTCAAAAAATCCCAATAACAATAATCATATTTCATACATTATGCATGGTATAAAATTGAGCATGCAAAACAAGCCACGGAGAACAAGACTTTACAAAATAACTAAACTAAACTGAATAACTAATTGAAACATATTTATTGTCATTT